TTATTGATTTAAAAGTATCTAAAATTTTGATGTATGATGTAATGAAGCAAAGATGGATATGCTGTGGATACAAAAAAATAACAATGTTTGATATAAGTGCAGATAATGTTTTGGATATTTGTTTCTATAGCAACATGTATGTAGGTTTATATCATAGCAGTATCGATTAGCACATTTTTTTGCGTTGTATATGAAATGCCTTACGGAAAAAAAAGAGAATATACACAAACACTACATTAAGCATAGTCGTTTTTTTTTGCAAAACTGATTATGTTTATGGCGTTACCTCATAGGATAGAAATCCACCTAGATAATTAATTATACACGTACAATGAAGATTTCCTTCCTGAGTAATTAACAGACTCAAATGTCTAAGTATACAGTCATCAGACTCATGTACAAAAGATTTAAGTATACTGATATTATTATATTATTATTATTGTTTCCTTTAATTCCTAAAGGAACATAGGGCTTCAGCTGCACGTCTCCATTGCGTTCGGTTCTCTGCTTACATTTCCACCTGGCTCCAAGTCTGCCCACATGCTTTCATCCCTCTTCACATCACCTCCTTCTCGTCAACCTCACCCTCGCACTGACGACCAACTCGCCGCTTCCCATTCTCGGGTTCCACTCGACCAATGGCTTGTCTAGTGATGTCACTCACTTGATGGTTTCCTCAGAGTATGGCCAGCCTATCCACCTCCATTTCTTCCTGCCTATTTGTTTCACAATCGGTTCCTGCTGTGTTGGTTCGCTCCCAGTGATCCCACTGATCTTGAATATTGAGCGAAGACAACTAGCTGTTGATGAAGGTCTGTAGTTTGTTTGAGGTGCTCTTTATGACGCGCTGGCCAAGTCTCTGATCCGTACAGTGAGTGGCACTGACTGACTTCACATTGGAGTTGAAAATCCGGATCTGATTTTCATTTTCATGCTGATTATTGCTGTTGACCTCCACACAGACTTGAGAGTAGTGAAAGCTTGTCTTGCTTTCCCGATCCTCGCTGCTTTGATATCCTCGTCAGTTTCATTTGCCTGTAGTTGAAACGATACTTCCCAGGTCGGTGGGTAAAGGAGGTTGTTTCTTTCAGGTTCCTTCCATTTATGATAATTGTTGTCTGTTGTTGTTGTTGCTGTTGGTGGTGTTGCCCAGGAATCTTCATTACCTCTGTTTTCTCTATTTTCACCTGAAGTCCTATCTTTGATGCTTCTTCTGCCAACTTGTTGCTTTTCGCTTGCATATCTTCCAGTTTATGGGAAATCAGACATATATCATCGGCGAAGTTCAGATCCTCCAAGTTTTTGTGAGGGTCCATTTTATGCCTGTTTCCTCGCTACCGTGCCCGTTGTCTGCCGCATTATCCAATCTACTGCAATCAGGAAAATCACTGGCGATAGCAGGCAGCCAACTTGTCTTACTCCTGTCTATAAGTAGGTTAGTAATAAGGTTTTTAGTTACAGGATTTCATCATGAGCTGACATTTGGCTAGAGAACCACCGGAAAACCTGCAAGGAGTACTGGACAGCTGTTTCACCCTAGTTCGTGACTGGCTATTCATCAGTGCGCACCCACCCCACTGGGGTTCGAACCCAGGACCACATTCTGGTTACAAGGCAAGCGAGCGAGCTCGTAGACCATTAAAGCTACTGGGAGTTTATCCAATGGCCAGCCAGCCCATGAATTCTAACTTCTACCAATACCAATTCACGACATAACGCGACTGGCACTAGCCAATGTCTCCGGTGGCGAGTATTTGTCCTCACACCCTCCTGGCCACGACTTCTCACTAAAACCCACCCAGGTAACTACCAACCTGAATAGGGCCAGCCATGCATGCTACTGAAGAGTCGCAAACTAGGATGACACAGCTGTCTAGTATACTCCTTTTGCAGTTTCAACAGATGGTATGGTTCTCAGCAAAACTTAGAAAGACGAAAGGAAGTTTAGATCTTTCTTTGGACTAATTTTTGAGCATACGGAATACTAAAATTGCAAAGTAAGAAGAAGATATTATAATCTCCAAAACAATAGACAAGTTGTACAAAAATCCTAAAGGAGATCAATAAATCTCTTTGTCTGAGAAGGGAGATTGATAGCCGATTTCATGATAATAATAATAATGGTTTTATCAATAATAAGGATGAAAAAGTGAGGCAACCTGCGATAACACGAATACTGATGAAAAACAGCATGATTAAACAAACAAATGTTCAGGTAGACATAGTAGTCGATGAAGGCCAGCTGAAAACAAATGAACTCACTAAGCAAGAAAGATATGTACGGATGACCTCTTACAAAAGGAATTAGAATATATATTCACGATTCCTTGATGGAGATGGGCTGACTATCCGAGTAGTTTCATAAAGAAACATATGAAAACACCAGAGAAAACAAAAACCTGAGACTCTAACTACACGTAAAACAACCTCTATTTATTATGTGACAATTTAGTGGTGACTTATCAAGCGAGATTTTATTCCAGAGGCTTTCCAGCAGGATACCGAGAAGGTTTTACGCAGCATACCTTTGTTTGTCTGTCATTCTCTAACCGACGAATGATTGGGACACAAACGAAGGATAGAGAGCTAGATAGTTTTGCCACATATCTATGTGCATTTATCAATTGAACTGCACCTGCGGTGACAGTTATGTTGGGCGTACAACCAGATACTTTAGCCAGCCAACGTGTTACTGAACATCTCCAATAATCGTGGTTTGGCAAAAGACAGACAAAAACAATCCGTAGCTCAATTTTGTCATATTTAATTGATAGTGGTCATGTAGTGGAGAAAACGAGAACTTTCAAAGTATTTCATTGTATCCCACCGAATCTTTCCAATAGACTTCGTATTCGTTTACTGCACACGCACACAGCTGAGGCAAGCGATAGGCATTCGAACTATTAAACCTAAACTATGACTTCATTCAAAAGAATTTCGTACAGTCATTATCCCTCCCTTATTGGCCTATTAAGACATAACCAACTGATGACTTCTACACCACCACACCTTACTCACTTATATTTTCAACCCCTCCTCTCTTATCATCCCTTAATCTTATCACATTTTCATTAAAAGCGTGTTTCATTTACTTCCCTTACAATCAGTCTAGCATTACTTAATCGGTTCATTTGTTTTCAGCTAGCCTTTAGCAACGACTACGTCTACCTGAACATTTGTTTGTTTAATCATGCTGTTTTTCATCAGTATTCGTGTTATCACAGATTGCCCCACTTTTTCATTCTTATTATTGATAAAACCATCATTATTATTATTATTAAAACAATTAGTCCCTTTGATAAATTTGAATAAGGCATTAAGAAGACAAATTTCGCGAGATGATTTCATCATTTCGTAGTTTCTTTGCAACCACTTTACACAACTAACATGGTTAACAATAATAAAATAAAATAAAGTTCATGACAATTACTCAGTTAAATAAAAAACAAAAGTACACACCAATGACCAATCATATTTAAATAAGTCAAGTAGTCAGTCCATGGCAGGCGAAGATTGAAGTCTATTGTTTTTTGTACACACAGTTTAGGCTGTATGTGATTAATCCCCGAAGAGTGCTTCCATCACCTTCAATAACCAACCTTGAATTAGAGTTATGTGATGAAATAATTGTGAAACAGTCATGAATATTGACTGATTTTGTGACCTGACATTATTAAGTGTTTTGCAATGGATGATGCTGGATTTCTATTCAGATTAATGAATACATTGGGATTTTCTATATGATTTAGTAACCATTTTGGAAGGTGTTCTTTTCGACAACATTGGTTCTACCTATATAGGTGTCGCCGCAGCTGCAGGTGAACTTGTAGATACAGTTTGAAGTAGAGTCCACAGAATTTCGTCCTTTAATCGTAGGTACAGGGATCGAAAATGTTCGGCAAATGAGAAAAAGAGATGTGGCGTAGAATGTGCGTTTGATGACTGAGGTAGCTGTCAACTGCATAATCTGGTCACCCTTGAATGGTAGGTTAATAAAGACAGATAGCTTTCTTTGGTACCGAAGCTGTCTTTTCGAGATGTGGTCTTTCCTTACTGTGACAAGTGATAAAGTTTTCCGGATACCCATTAGCTAATAAAACTGAATGTATATATATCGAAACTCATCCATCAATGTGTCACTCGTGCATATTTTTCGGGCTCTTGAGAACAAACATTTCACACTGGGGAACGTTTATACTGGATAGGGACAAAACTGGTTAAATGAAGACATTGTCCACTCCATGTCTGTTTACGAAAAATAGATCGCTGAATCGTTCCATCATCTCTCCTAGTCATTATAATTATTATTACTACTATTATGACTAATTGCACAATTTATATTCACCATCTTATTATCTTATAGACAAAACACCATGATTGGTTTATATTTGAATTTTTATTTGTAAAGTTATGTAGATGTATATTAGAGTTAAGCCTGATGATGAGATCTAATCGAAGACAACAATATTGTTCGCTTAAGCAGGTGTTGTTCTAAATTTTACCATGAGAATACACAGTGAAGTCGTATCATTTAATAGATGACATTTCAAAAACACAATTTTTATAGATTCTAATCACATCACTCTCTACTGAAGATCAGATGGCCACCGGAAAGAACAAGAACCAACAAGAAACTATGAGAACAAACAAACAAAACAAGAACCAATCGCTCAACAAATATGCAGGAGAAAGTGGAGATGGATGGATTGAACACTCGCTGAGGAGGCCACTGCTGGTGACATCGCGCGTCAGGCCATCACTCGAGTGGAACCCGAAAGGGAAGCGGCGAGTAATCGGACGTCCAAGGGTGACATGGAAGAGATCGTGTGAAGAGGAACTGAAACAGTATGGAATAACATGGATGCAGGTGAAAAGTACAGTACAGCAGAAGACAGAAGCAAGTGGAGACGTGCAGTTGAAGCCCTATGTTCCACTAGGAACCCAAGGGAACAATAATAATAATGATATCCAATAAACTGATTGATTAATGCTGAACTAACCCGGATATCATTCATCTTTCCTTTGAACTCCATGATACAATCATCCACCTCAGCTTTGCGTTGATCCAAAAAGTTATAGTCATTCGTGCGAAGTTTACTTACAGCCAGATTATACTGTGTAATCAAAGGGTCGAATTTTTCAATTTTTGACGTCAATAAACAAGAATACGCCTGAATCATTTCGAATACTTCATTAATCTGATGCAACCGTCGACAGAATAAATCGTATTTACCAAATATGTGTATTTCAGAGAGATCGAATTGTTTCGACGAATTCGGTTTAGCGGCCAGCTCGGCTTTCACTCGTTGAAATGATGTTTTGTACATTTGATTCAAGTTATGACAATCGGATATTTTTTTCAACAGCTTGTCCGGATTCTCTGTCCATATTGTATGCTCATAGTTACTAGTGATATACGCTTTACATGTGGAGATCATTTGATTAGTGACTTTAACGAAGAGTGAGGTGATTTTCTCTGGTGTACTATAGAAAACGGAGATCTCATAGACTAGACGAATCATTGTCACAAGTTTCGGTACACTCTCCAACATACCAACCTATGCGAAAAAAGAAAAGAGAAACAAATAAAATAAATTATCATCAATATGGATAAGATTTTTTATTTTGATAAACTGTCACACACAGTGTGTGTGTAGTGTTATACAGTAAGTAATATTAACTGATGCGACCACACACGCTTCGAGCACAATTCATTATTGCCACTCATAATCATATCAAGTCACTCACTCACTCACTCACTTACACAACTTTCGTCTTCCTTCATTTATATACATGAGTGGAATTCATGATGATTAGACATTTGAATACAAATCAGTAATATAGGATAATGTGCATTCAGAAATAATAATAATATGAGTGTTATTGATCAAATACAATCAGATGGGAAATAAGATGAGTGTTTCTTTTATAGTCAAAATAAGTAACTTCTTAGAATGTTGTGATGTACATGAATTGAACAAGGAGAATTAGCTGTGATATTAGATTGTGAAGTAAAACGAATAGAAGAAGGCAAACTACAAACTAGCGGCGTTAATAAAAAACCAACTCATTCTAATAGATATTTTGACTTTAATTCATCTCATCCGTTAACTGTTAAGGCTGGCTTAGTTAAGTGTCTAACAACCCGAGCAGTAGCACTAAGTAGCACAACAAAAGACCTAAATGACGAAATAAAACAGATAGAAGAAGCGTTGGTGTTAAATAACTAACTATCCTATGAAATTCATTAGGAAGATCAGTAAAGGCCAAAAGCAAAATCGAAAAATAATTGTGAAACTAGTAATGATAACATAAATAAGAGAGAATATAAGTCATCTACTGTTATACCATATAAGGAGGGGACATCTGAGACACTCCCTACGTAGGATTCTTAATAACAAAGCAGGAATTAGAGTGGCATTCAAACCTACAAGACCCGGTTGGCCCAATTAGACAAAATAATATAATTTACAAAATACCCTGCAATGACTGTGAAGTCAACTACATAGGTAAAACTAGTAGGTCGGGGGTAGTCAGATTATCAGAACATAAGCATTCAGCTAAGGTAAGAATGGTTGACCCTACCCACGAAGATAAGTAATTTAGAAAAAAGCTCAGCACTACATTGCACTGCATGCATTAACACACAACCACACAATAGCATGGTGGGAGAGGCTTAAAATTCTAAGAAGTAATCTACGTAGGTGGAGATAGAGAGAGATTGATTACTGAATCCTGCCTGGTTCATCGAGGCTACACCCAACACATGCAACTGAAATGACTCAATGCAAATACCAGAGAAATGCATGGAAGATATTATCACCACCAGTCAGTCAGTCAGTGAAATCACAGAAGGATAATAAATAATCTCAAAATTCTATTTCAGTTCACGTACATCACAACATTCTAACAAGTAACTCACTTATTTTGACTATAAACAAAACACTCATCTTATTTCCCATCTAATTGTACTTGATCAATAACACTCATACTATTATTATTATTTCTGGATGTTAATAGACAGAAGAAAAGTAGTTCAGCGAAGAGGCTCTTTTCTGCGAATTCCATCTCAACAAACGCCTCCTTCAAAGTAATCTACAAAGTGAAGAACAACCTTCCAAAGACAGTACGATTCCGTCTTCTTTGCATCGCAGAAGCCCTAGCCATTAAGCTAGAGGAACCAGAACTGTGCATACAAAAGAAAATTATTCAACCACTTCTACTCCCATGGTGACAACTGTGTTGATTTGACTTAACTTTTGTTTGTATCCTTATTTTTCTACTTAAAACCCTTGTGTAATTCCGTGTATTTTGTTTCCATGTACACCCTGAGTACAACTCTTTCATCAGAGTATTCATGTTATTACGTAACTCTCTTCTTTAACAATCGTTTGTGACAACTCATCACTTTTGTTACTACCCTCTTATATCAACACATCCAATTCTCATCTGAACTTACTAATTGTATTTTCGTTTGACAAATTTAATGTACACACACATACAAAACAACCATATATATTTACGATTGTACAGCTATGAAAATGAATTCGCCGCCGAAAAGAGCCTCTTCGCTGAACTACTTGTCTTCTGTCTATTAATGTTCGAATGGGAATTTTTCATGAATATTTCTGAATGTACATTATCCTATATTACTGATTTTTATTCAAATGTCTAATCATCATGAATTCCACTCATGTATATAAATGAAGGAAGACGAAAGTTGTGTGAGTGAGTGAGTGAGTGACTTGATATGATGATTATGAGTGGCAATAATAAATTGTGCTCGAAGCGTGTGGTCGCATCAGTTAATATTACTTACTGTATAACACTACACACACTGTGAGTGACAGTTTATCAAAATAGAAAATCTTATCCATAATGGAGTTAGATTTGGCCACGAAAGTGCCCAAGTTTTATACTTATATCATCATCATCATCATCAATGCCTTCACGTTCCCAGTGGAACAAAGGGCTTCAAGCTAGAGGCTTGAAGTTTCTGTAGCAGTGATGGTTATTTTTACAGGATGGGGTTGCTAGCTAGCCTCATGTCCGCCAACCTTTCCTCTTTACGAGTCTTATTTCTGGCTTCAGGGAGGTAAATGAGTGCGTCGGTGGCTCGGTGGGATAGAACACCGAACCATGTGAATGTGGAACGGTAAGCGTTAGGACAACTGCTGTGCCACCGACGCACAGATATCAACTATTCTTATCTTGGATTCCTAGTGGAATATAGGCGCGGGAGGGAGGCATCTGCAGTATATCAATATTTCATATTGATATAAGAATAAAACTTGTGCACTGTGGTTGTGGTGGTAGAGTGTAATTCCGTTATGGGTAAATTTTGTTTTGATAAAGTCTCACAGTGTTGTGTTATACAGTAATGTTTACTGATGCGACCACGCTTCGAGCACAATTTATCACTGCTCATAATCATGTCGACGTAGTACCACTATCAATATTTCACCATTCAGTTCTCTAAAATCTTTTTAGACAGCTCTACGACTATCCGTAATTTTTTTTCGATTTTCTTATCACACAATCAATCTTCTTCACGGCTATTTTGTTGTCTTGCAGTCGTGGAAACAATGAACTTCTACGTGTGGTAATTTCTTGTGACTGGTAAGGTTTTTTGCTCCCAAAAATGATAAGTAATATTAGTGAGCAGTGAGGTCCAATTAGATGTCACGTGTGTGGATTGATGTCCCACCAACGACAATGGTTGGGGTCGCGCTAAATCACGAATTGGTAGAAGTTAGAATTCATGAGCCACTGAATCGGGTCCCAGTGGCTGAATGGTATACGAGCCTGCCTTGTAACCGGAAGGTCCTGGGTTCGAATCCCAGTGGGTGCGTACTGCCAATGATTACCAAACAAGGATGAAACAGCAGCTGTCTAGTACTCCCTGTGGCTGGTTTTCAATGGTTCTCTAACTGATATAAATCCGTGATCAACTCGTAAAAACATAAATTATTTAAATTAATCCCAACGTGTTTTAACAAAAGAAAATCAAAACAAGACCTGTTTTCTGAACGTTTCGCTGTGTAGGCTGCCACAGCTTCTTCAACAGCAGATTTATTTGGATTTTTATTAATCATCAAAATATATAGTCAACACAGTTTTACATAAATTGAAGTCACTTTATTTGAAGGTCTCTCGTCGACAGACATTTGTACCAACAGAAATATGTAAGCAGTCATCAATCATATATTTGTGATGACTATTGTCAAACTGTCATTGTGTGTACTTCATTCTGTATGAGTGTGTGTGTGAGTGTACGTTCTTTGTCATATGATACGGGACGTCAATTCACATGTGATAAACATGATCCTACATGTTTTAAAAAGTCATGGAGGTTCGTAGACGTTTTCCTTGTTTTTTCCTCTGTCTTGCTTCATTAGAGTTTGGCATGTAGGTGGTGATAAGTCTATCCCTTCTCTCCTTCCTATTTACTGCATTCGATGTGGTTCGAATGTGTAAGGCTTCAGAGATGTCAACCTTTCTTTATGTGTTGAATGAAATCCTTACCCTAAAATTTCGACGTTTCGTGCGTAGTCTATGTTCATTCACTCTGACCTTCTCACCTGTCTACTACTCTCCCCTATATATAGCATGCTTCACATTCTGAACACTTTATCCTATAGACACAATTACTTTGTGACATTTTTAGGAACCATATCCTTGACATTCACCATAGCTTTCTCCAGAGAATTAGAGGGCTTGAAATAGACTTCAATGTTGCATGAAGTAAATAGTCTTTGAAGTTGTTCAGCTGTGTCCTTTCGATATGGAATGCCTGTCATCGATCGGTAGCCAAGATTTTTCAATTTTTTCCTGTTTTCCCCTCTGCTCCTTTTTATTGATTGATAATATTATCTAGTAGCTTTTCAGGATAACCATTTCCAATCAAAATCTGTTTTATATTGGATATCTCATTCTCCATATCGTCATTATCTGTTATAATGTTTCTAGCTCTGTTATGAGGAGATTTCAAGCTACTGAAACTTTCATTCCTATTGGATGGTCTGATTGGAAATTCAAGTACTTGTTGGATTGTGTCGGTTTCCGTGGGTATCGTGAACTTAAGTTTCTCTTCAGTTTGTATTTTTACAAGACAATCAAGAAAATTTAGAGTTCCCTGGGCCGATTCTACTTCATTAGTATTATGTATTCTATATATTCTGAGATCAAGTTAATCTCTGTTAGAAAGTGTTTTCCTTTTCAGCTTTCTTTATATGATGGATGATAAATGTGTCATCTACATATCTGTGTCATATTCTAGGATGACAACTAAAACTTGCTAGTGATTTTCTTTCTAGAGCTTTCATATACAAGTTTGCTACAAATGGAGGTGCTGTTGGTCAACCTATTGCAACTCCATTTGTCTGACAGTATAGTTTGTCTTTAAAGGTAACATATGTAGATTCTAAACAAAGTTTTAAGCATCTTATAATCTGTCTGTCTGGATTCAACATAGAACTTGGCACCGGAGTGCAGCACTTCGAGTTGCCACGTTCCAAATAGCACACAAAGGTAGACAAGAAGATGGATGAGTGAAGAGAATCAATCAATAGAGTTTTGACAAGTATAAGAGTGAAAAACAATGAGTAATGGTAGAAAGGAGTATGAAAGATTACACAAGAGACTGAATACATCTGCGTAAGCCATTGACTACGATTTTCAGCCATGTCACCTATTGTCTCCAGCCATTGATTCGTAGAGTCCCGAGGGCGGGTCCCGACCCGGAAGTCTGCATCTCCCTCCCTACCTGACTGACTCAGTTTAACTGTCAAGGATTTCATGGATTGATTGATGCCATGTTTTTGTTTGGCATGGCACCACTTACTCTTTTCCAACCTGCACCTATATCAGCTAGTAATGCACGTCGGGGTGGGGAAGGCGATGGTTAGGTATTCGCAGCACGTCACCTAGCCATCTCAATCTATGTAACTTTATAGCCTTGTCGATTGATTTTCCCTCTTTGCCCAACACTCTACGCCTAACCTAACGTCAACATTACTTACCTTATTATACCACCTAACGTGAGAAAGAGATCGTAGACATCTGTGGTCAAAAACAGACAACCTTTTCATGTCTTCAACTCGTATTGGCCATGTTTCAGAGCCATAAAGAAGGACGGAGCGAACTGCTGAGCAGTAGACACGTCCCTTGGTTGATAGTCGGATGTCACGCCTACGCGAGAGACGGCGTAAGTTAGCGAAAGTAGCTCGAGCTTTTTGGATCCGTGCTGAGATTTCGTCACCAATCAATCCATTGGTGCTGATACAACTTCCCAAATACGCGAAGTGGTCAACATGTTCTATCACTTCACTCCCTATCACTAAGCTAGGAGTTGACGTAGTCCAGTCATTCCTGTAGCAGCATCTTACATTTCACAGGAGCGAATCGCATGCCAAACATACGAAGATTGCTGCTGAAGGTGTTCAGAAGACTCTGCATTTTGTCAGCATCCTCCTCTAACAGGACTAATGTCATCTGCATATTCTAAGTCCATAAGACTATTCCCTGGTAACAAGTCGATTCGTAAGTCGTTAAGTTCAGTTAAGGATACTTCCATTAGCATATCTATGATGAAGTTAAACAGAAATGGGGAAAGTGGACATCCTTGACGGACACCACTGGTTGTTATCAATTCAGATGACAATTCCCGTAAACCCCTTACATGGCTACGTGAGTTTGAGTAGAGTGCCTTGATTAGTGCAATGTACTTTCTTGGCACTCCCTTCACAGTCAAACATTGCCATGGTACCTTTCGATCCACGGAGTCGAAGGCCGCCTTCAATTGTTGGGCGCCTAAAAATGTGTCTATGTTCTAGGATCTGTCGCAGAGTGAAAATGTGATCTATGCACCCTCTACCTGGCCTAAAGCCTGCTTGATTTTCCCTCGTTTGTTCCTCCCGAGTTCTATATTATATATATTCGGAGGATTAATAAGCAAAATGTCTTATCATTTATGCATGATCACCAGATCCTTTCTTCATCCCTTTCATTTCGAGTGAAACACAAAGCTTCAGGATTTTGAATTTCAGTAGAGATGATTTTGTCTTTTTGCGAGGTGTCATTGCTAGCCTCAAGCCCAATATTTCCTCCTTACCGACTTTACTACAGTCTAGAATGGCAAGTGTGTGCCTTTTAGGCGTGTGTCGGTCGCCAGTAAAACACAGACCTCCCAAGATGGCTGCCGTGCATTCCACCATATCTTAGTTCTGGACAAATTTCATCAATTATATATTCAGTGTCCCGTTGACGTGGCTTAGATAGAAGTCAAGCGTATATACAAACGTATTTATGACTAATGTAATAAAAATGATAGAAGCGTGAACCTACTGGATCACATCTGTACAACGGCTCACAATATTCTTCGATGGTATTCAGAAATTTCATATTATTTTTCGCTTCATTTGTATAATCCATTACGATGGATTCGAGTTGAAGCCATTTCTGGAAGAAAAAACAAAGAAAAAAGTAAGTACACAGCACTTTCATTTTAAGTATAGAAAAATAGCAAAAACAACAACAACAAAAATCGATGAAGTCAACCCTCAGCGAGGGACAAAAATGAAATATGGTGACACAAGGTGCACTAGTAGTTAATGACTACACTTTAATCAGCAGCTTTTGCTTTTCCCTACAGGACGACAAAATATTTGCTAACAGCATGGTTTTAGAGCAGGTCATTCTTGCTTGACCAACCTTCTTTTGGCCAGAGAAAGTTGGACAAGCTCAGCTGATGCTAATATACCGGTGGATGCCATGTTCATCGACCTTAGCAAGGCGTTTGACAGGGTTTCTCATTCAGGTCTTCTAGTAAAGTTAGGTAGTATGGGAATCAGTAAAGTGGTTGCCGACTGGATTCAAGACTTTCTGAAGGACAGAAGACAAAGAGTACGAGATAACGGGGTTTTATCAACATGGGAATCGGTTAAGAGTGGCGTTCCTCAGGGTACAATTCTAGGCCCACTTCTTTTCCTGATTTATGTTAATGAGATTCCATCGGTAGTTAAGTCATCCTGCTTACTGTTTGCTGATGACATCAAGATATGGAGGGCTTTACACGATGACAGTGATCAACTTGCTTTGCAGGAAGATTTAAACTTGTTAAGTGATTGGTGTAAGTACTGGGCCTTGCAGATTAACTTAAGCAAGAGTGTAGTTATGCATGTACCTCATGGTCACCGGGAAAATTACTCAATGAATGGCATTACTCTCCCAGTGGTCACTGAGTACAAGGACTTGGGAGTGGTTGTGCAGCATGACTTGAAAACAGCAACAAACTGTAGAGCTGCAGCCACTAAGGGTTTTCGAATATTATGGGCCATACGCAAGCAAGGCTTTTGCGAACTTTGACGCTCATATATTTCGTATATTATATCCGACTTATATCAGACCTCATTTGGAATATGGGATCCAGGCAGCGAGCCCGTGTTTCAAACACGAAATAGACTTACTAGAAAGGGTGCAAAGAGTAGGAACTAAGCTAATAAAGGGTTTCTAAACCCTCTCATATGAGGAGGAGAGGTTAAGTCGACTGGGTTTATTTCCACTGTCATACAGACGACTTAGGGGTGACCTAATACTTGCATACCGTATCCTAAGAAATGATTTTGGAGCTAATTTATCTAATTTATTTCTTCCTTCTAGTACCAACCAATTGCGAGGACATCAACTCAAGGTTCAAAAACCACAGTCGAATCGTCTGCGTCTGGAGATCCGTTTTTCACATCGAATTGTGAACCATTGGAACTCCCTACCGGAACACGTCGTATCAGCGCCATCCGTTGATTCATTCAAGGCGAAACTGGACCTCCTGTGTGTAACAAATCGAAAGGATTAACACAGGCATATAGCCTACTATCCTAAATAAATTGTAAACTGTAGTTTGCTTATTAGATGTATCACACAGTCAGTGAAACAGTATTATTTACTAGATGACACAGTTTCGAACAAAATTTATTGTTCATAATGATATCAATTGTAATTACACGACTTTGAGACTTGAGTTTTATAGTTTTCTTTGTCTTCTCCTATTTGTCGTCGTTGGGGTAATAGAATTTTCACCAATGGTGCAATGTTTAGGTGATAGAGCACAAAAACTAAGTAGTACCAAGGAAAATCTAAGACAGGAAGTGATACATATAAGAGAAGCCTGGAAACTTAATAATTACCCTGATAAATTAGTCAGAAAGTATGGAGGGAAATGTAATATAAAATAAATAATGATAGTAGTGATAGTGATAATAATAACATTAATGATGACAATAAAAGTAATAGTTATATTAGTGACGATATGCATGTCAAACATTCGCAGGATAATGACAATACCAACAATAAGGAATCTAAATCATCAGTAGTAATTCCATACAAGGAAGGAACCTCGGAAACAACCTTACGCAGAATTCTTAACAATGCTGGTAGGCAGGAATAGAAGTGGCCGGTATTCAAACAAACCACAAACTCAATTAGAAACAAGCTTTGTCAGTTAAAGGATCAATCCTGCGGAGCCGTTAAAACATAACAATTTAGTTTATGTAATCCCCTGCAGCTGCAATGATTATCAGGTCAAATACATAGATCAAAGTCGTATAACAGGGTCAGTCAGACTAGCTGAACATAAAAACCTAGCAGCAAAATATAGATTGGTTGACCCGAATAAGATAAGAAATCTAGAGAATAGTTCAGTTATAGCACTCACTACATGCAATTACACACAACCATACAATAGGATAGGGTAGGATGACAGTTTTAAAATCTCATGTCACAGGGTGTAGAGAGGGAGAGATTGGTAACAACAGAAGCTTTGTTTATCGAATACGTGAATACATGTAATAGGAATAATTCAACACCTGTCTACCCCAACGACGACAAATAGGAGAGGAGAAAGAAAACTATAAAACTCAAGTTTCAAAGTCGTGTGATTACAATTGATGAAATGATTATGAACAATAAAAAATTTCGTTCGAAACTGTGTCATCCAGTAAATACTAATACTGTTTCACTGTGTGATATATCTTATAAACAAACTACTATGGAATTAATTACTACCACCACAGTGCCCAATTTTTACGCATAAATATTAATTGCTAACATTTTCTGTTTTGAACAAAAGAAGATTTCATATGAGGTGACAATTCCAGAAATTTAGATGTCCTATGTCAGGGCGTCTACCAACAACAACAACAGCAACATCCAGCGCCAATCACCATCAACGGAAGGGATTTGAAAGAGGTTACTTCTTTCACTTATCTAGCTAGGGAGCATTGTCTCAACTACACGAGGAACGGACGACGATGTCAAATCGAGAATCGGAAAGGCGAGAAACACATTCATCAACCTGAAACCAATCTGGAAATCTTCGTCAATCAGCAACACTCAACAACAAAATGATTTGGATTTTCAATACAAACGTCAAGTCAGTCAGTTCTTTTATACGTACGGATGAGAAACTTGGCAGTGAGTCACAAAGAATATTTCCAACAGCCTGTTGAAGACCTTTATCAACAACAACTGTCTTCGTTCTATACTCAAGATCAGATGGCCGGAAAGAACAAGAACCAATCGACCAACGAATATGCAGGAGAAAATGGAGATGGATGGATTGGACACTGGCTGAGGAGGCCGCTGCTGGTGACATCGCGCGTCAGACCATCGCTCGAGTGGAACTCGAAAGGGAAGCGGCGAGTAGTGGGACGTCAGTGCAAGGGTGACATGGAGGAGATCGTGTGAAGAGGAGTTGAAACAGTATGAATTAACATGGATGCAAGTGAAAAGTACAGCAGAAGATAGAAGCAAGTGGAGACGTGTAGTTGAAGCCCTATGTTCCACTAGGAACCCAAGGGAACAATAATAATAATATGATTCTACAATTTTATACAAATAATTACTAACAGCTTACCTTCACTAGAGGACAATTTGTAGAAGAAAGTATACCAAGGACAACTTTACAATTGTGCTTGTTCATTTCTTCAAATATCGTATTGAATGTGGTCATCCGTCGACGCCAATAGTCCAACTCGACTCGAGGACCTGTATTGTCAGCTTCCTTTCTAATCTGATCAACAATAGCTATTACCTGTTAAGAAATAAATAAAAGACAAATTCAGCTAAGAAAATTTTCTCTTTATCGACGAAATCATCTTCACAGGCTGGCGTAGCTGTACAGTCGTGTTTATATTTTAACATGAATGTTGCTGTTTAAATAACATCGAATCAATAATAATAATACCAGTGGATTACAGCTCAGTGGCATCAAAAATAACCATAAACTGAAAGTCAAAAAACTAGGAAAGATAATATTAAGAATTCATGAAGTTCTAGTCTCTACTGAAGGCCAGGGCAGTAGTAGGGGCTAGCTGGATTTGCCTCCCCTCCACACAGAGCATTGGTTGTTTACGGCGAATTGCAGTATGCGGTACCTGGATGTTTTTAGCAGTTTATTTGGTACCCGGTAGATTATAGGGAAGGATTCTTCCAAGCTGGCTGGCTGGCTTTGTGGCCGGCCGGCTGGTTTGGTTCAGATAGTCCAATATCGAACTGTTAATGGTTTTCACTACACCTTTACTTAGCCATACTGGGAGATGTTCTCGAGCGAGCACGAAAAATCAAGTTCCTAGAGCAACAACGGCCAATATAACTCGTTCCACAAGCGCAGTTGAATTGGTAGATACAGTTTTAAATGGCCAGTCTAGGTACTTCATCTTTCAGCCGAGGAATCACCATCGGTCGTGTAGAGAATAATACGTGTAGTTCGCCAGCATTAAAGTTCTTTGAATTGGTTTTCTTAATTTCTTCGTAATTATTTCACTTGGTATATCGCCCTTGAATTGCAGTTGTATATAAAGAGGCTTCTTGTTTACAGATAGTGAGTAGTCCTTTTCCGCCGCTTTCTTTGTCATGTGTTTCTTGATAAATTTGTCGCGATAGCTATTTTCAACCAAAGTATCATATACAATGCTTAATTCATTTTCAATTACTTCTTCTGAGGATATAGCTGTGACTAACTCTGTGGATGAGGGTCTTCACTAAATTTCTTTTGTACTTGAGAGGAACGAAGCTGTGAAAATGTGTGTATATTGTCCTGTCCAAGTACTTTATCTATGCAAATTTCTTTTTATGCTACCATCTGGTTTTCTTGTAAGGATGATGTCTAGAAAGGCAATTCATTCTATTTCGGGATTCCTCTTCACATGTAAATTTCATAGCAGAATGTATTTCATTGAATTCAGTAATTATTGTACTCCTATCCGAATCATTATCACCACGAAGAATAAAGGTGTCATCCATATCCATATACCAGCATTTAATTTAAGAATTTTCTGATAAGGTGGTTGTTCAAAGGTCCATTTTACTAGTTTACTTAGAAAGAAATCAGCCAAAATGGATTTCAAAGTTAAAAAAAACTAACAGAAAGTGAAAGCGAAGTGTGATGTTACACAGGCGTGAATTATCCGTTTTCAGGGAAAACGTTTCGCCAATTGTGATTTTTTTTTATTTAAACGCAGAAAAAAAAACTTGGTACAATATGGCACCAAGAAAAATGCACCACACAATAATAGTAATAAAACAACATAGATTAAAAATAAAAATATAAGGAGAGAACGGATAAAGAACTTCATCAGGAAGGGAAACAGTCATACTTAACAAGTTCAAACAGTATTCGTTAACTATCATCAGGAAGGGAAGAAAGAAGGAAATTTCAGCACGTTCGCCATTGATGATTGCGATTCCTGGCCATATCCGATAACGTTTAGAGCCATCGATTCGAGCTATCTCGCGGACCCCAACCAGGGAGTCGTGAAGCACCACCAACCAATGCTAATCTAGCACAAAATTCCTTCATCCCACAATGCCACGTCATGGACTGACCACCCCTCCACCTTTTTCATCCCATCCCAGGGTTGGCTAGCGAACACAGACCTGTACGGAAGCCTCTGGGATGACATTCACAGCACATTTCCAAGCCATCGGAGCCGGTGTTTCCAGATGACGACACTCAATGAATGGTGATCTCCACTGTGTTCAAACACACGCCACCGCCGAACCTCAGAATGACTCACACGATGATGCCATCGAACGCAAGCAATCCTGCGGAGACAGCGATGATCGAACACGCAGAGTCGCCTCACATCCTCAGCCTACTCGGAGAGGCCAGGTTTCACAGGCTGGCGTAGAGCAAGACAGCCCGCACACCGAAGCATTGTATACCCGACAGCCTTTGACAGCCAGGCGGCTAACGTCGCGACGGCGCCAGAGGTGGCTCAAGTTGGAAATCTCATCCTTCACTCTTGAAACCCACTAGGTAACAAACACTCCGTTCAAAAAGAAACAGTATTGGTGTAAACTGATACAAATAAATAAAACCCCACTCACTTGTTCTAGCTGATTAATCCAGGCCATAGCACAAATTTCAAATTCTTTTAACATATCAGGACTGACTATAGACGATAAACGTTTAATATCATGAACCGATTGTATCTTTTCGATTGATTTGCTTTGAAAAGATTTAAAGTGAAACTGAAATTGAAAAAGACAAATATGCATCATCATCGATTGCCGCCATTTTCTAACTTATACACTGAACAACTGTGTGTTCACGTACCTGTGAGATATGAGTAAAGAAAATAATGAAAACAAAACACGTAGATCAGCGAAGAGTCTCTTTTCGGCGGCGAATTCATTTTCTTAGCTGTACAATCGCAAATACTTTGTATGTATGTGTACAAGGTACGTAGACGACATATTCATTATTTGTTACAACAACAATGACCCCAATCTACTTCTGAAGACATTCAGTTAACTGTTGCCATCCAGCAATAAAATTCATCCTTGAAATGGAAAACGAATCAAAAAGCAATTCCGTTTCTTGATGTGGAACAAACAAGAAGAACTGATGGGAGCCTAAGAAAATCGATTCATAGAAAACCTACTTGGAATGGTCAACTAACAAACTTCTATAACTGGCTACCCATTCAACAAAAGTGGAATTTAATTAAATCACTTGCCACCCACATCCGATGCATCTGTAGTCCCAACGCTCTGGAAACAGAACTAGATATTCTAAGAGAAATTTTCATCCAAAATGGATACCCAATGAGATTCATCGACAAAAATCAAATCAAACCAAGAATTCGGAGAAACGAAACTCTACTTGCGCCAAAAAAGAAACTCTTCGTGAACCTGGATCTCAAGAGAGATTTAGCAAGCGATATTCTCAAGAGAACGATCACATCATCGCTGAGAGGAACATTCTTTGCAGCAACGCTAAGAATAGTGTTCTCCAGTCGCCCCCTGATCTGCAGAAACCTCGAGGACAAGATCCCGCATCTGACCACTTCTACGTGCATATATCAGTTCACCTGCTGCTGTGGAGCCAGCCAAGCACATTGGTCGTTCGACGCGCACCCTGTCCAAGAGGATTCAAGAACACTATGTAGCCAGCATGATTGCGAAAAGGCAATAGTGGTGGTGCAATAAGGAGTGCGATAATTGAACATCTGGTTAACACTGATCATTCCATTTCAACAAACACCTCCTGCTTCAAAGTAATCTACAGAGTCAAGAACAACCTATCAAAGACAATACGGTTTCGTCTTCGTTGTATCACTGAAGCTCTGACCATTCACATAGAAAAATCGGAGTTGTCCATTCAAAAGAGAATTACTCAACCGCTTCTACTGTACTGTCATGGTAACAACTTTGTTGATTTTTGATGACTTAATTTTGTTTCTTCGCCTGTTCTCTAATTGCTTGTAATTCTTGTGTTCATTTAGAACTCTTACGTAATTTCTTATTATCTACTTTGTTCCTATGTGCATCCTGATTAAAACTCACTCATCAAACTACTCATATTATTACATAACTTCCTTTTTAACAACTGTTTGTGACAACTCATCACCTTTGTTACTAACCTAATTTCACAAACACCTAATTTTCTTGACTAATTTTGTATTACGTAACTCCAATTAACAATCTCCTTCACCTGTTTAGTTTAAATAACTAAAACCAATTGTCTATTTTTGTTTGATAAACTCATTGTACACATACATACAAAATAACACATATATATACTTGCGATTGTACAGCTAAGAAAATGAATTCGCCTCCGAAAAGAGACTCTTCGCTGATCTACGTGTTTTGTTTTCATTAATGCCTGGATGGGGATTATACATGAATTAAAGAAAATAAGTTAACTGATATACGTCCTTATTGGGTTGTTCTTTTATATGTTTAATAATGGACCCAGAGACAACAGCGGACTTGATGACGCCACTACTGGAGAAGGTGTGGAAAGAAGAAGACAAAGTATCCGAGGATTGGAAGAAAGGATACTTATTCAAACTAAACCAAAGAAAGGAGACTTATTAAGTCAATGCAAGAACTGGCACGGAATTATGCTCCTGTCCATTCCAAGCAAAATACTAAGCAGTATCATCCTGCAAAGAGAATCAAACACACGCCGACCTGGATGAAAAACTTCGACTGGAACAGGTTGGCTGGATTCAGGAGAAACAAGTCATGTATTGATCAAATCGCCACATTACGGATCATCATTGAACAAAGCTTGGAATGGTAGTCACCTCTCTACCTCACTAAACTTCATCGACTTTGAAAAGGCCTTCGATAGTGCAGCGTCAATCGACGAGTGATTTTGCAACTACTTCGCTACTATGGGGTGCCGCCGACAATTATACATCTCATCCAACAGTTGTATGACAACGCTGCATGCCAAGTAATCCACAACGGGAAGCTCACGAAATCCTTCGAAGTGAGGACAGGAGTAAGACAAGGCTGGCTGGCTGTCTGCTATCGCCAATGATTTCCCTGATTGCAGTAGATTGGATAATGCGACAAACAGCGGGCCGGGCAGCGAGGAAACTGGCATAAAATGGACTCACACAAAAACCCTGGAGGATCTGGACTTCGCCGATGATATATGTCTGATTTCCCACAAACTGGAAGATATGCGAGTGAAAAGCAACAAGTTGGCGATAGAAGAAGCATCCAGAGAAGATAGGACTTCAGGTGAACGTAGAGAAAGCAGATGTGGTGATGAAGATTCCTGGGCAACACCAACAACAACAGAAAACAGTCAGCCAGCATAAATGGGGAGGAACCTGAAAGAAACAACCTGTTTTACCTACCGACCTGGAAAGCATCGTTTCAACTACAGGCGGACGGAACTGACGAGGGTATCAAAGCAGCAAGGATCGGGAAAGCAAGACAAGCCTTCATTACTATCATCAAGTCTGTGTGGAGGAGATGAACAGCACTCTGCATCATAAGATCCGGATTTTCAACTCCAATGTAAAGTCAGTCAGTGCTACTTAATTCACGGATCAGAGACTTGGCCAGTGCGTCATAAAGAGCACCTCAAACAAACTAGAGACCTTCATCAACAGTTGTCTTCGCTCAATACTCAAGATCAGATGGCCGGCTAGAAAAGATCAGCAACAGAGATCTCTGGCGATGAGCGAACCAACACAGTAGGAACCGATTGTGTAACAAATAAGCAGGAAGAAATGGAGGTGTATTAGCCATACTCTGAGGAAACCATCAAGTGATATCACTAGACAAGCCATTGCTCGAGTGGAACATGAAAGGGAAGCGGCGAGTTGGTCGTCAGTGTGAGAGTGACATGGAGGAGAAGGAGGTCATGTGAAGTGGAGATGAAGGCATTTGGGCAGACCTGGAGACAGATGAAAACGTTGGTAGAGAACCGCACGCAATGGAGACGTGCGGCTGAAGCCCTATGTTCCTCTAGGAATTAAAGGAAATTAAATTATTATAATAATGGTTAATAAAGAAAATACACAGTTCATCAGCATTAGATGTAATGTAAACTTGAAAATTAATCTGATGCTCACTAGCGACTGGCCCTATTCAGGCAATTAACCTTGGGTACTAGTAGGAAGCCGTGACCAGGAGGGTGAAGCAGATCAAAGATGAGGCAGTAACTCATCGAAGAAGACATTGTGAAATGGTCGCGCTATGTCGTGAATTGGCAGAAGTTAGAATTCATGGGCCATTGGATCGGGTCCCAGTGGCTCAATGGTCTAAGAGCTGGCTAGCCTTGTAACCAGAAGGCCCTGGGTTCAAACGCCGGTGGGTGCGTACTGATGAGGGGTCCCAAACTAGGACGGAAAAAGCTGTCCAGTACTCCTGGCAGGTTTTCCAGTGGTTCTCTAACTGATGTCAGCTCATGATGAAATCCTCCAACCAATGAAACAAAACAAAAAAGTCCCTTCAAAACCAATACTTGAAAAGTAATGTAAACCATCGATGTATTATAGGTGTTGTACTTAAATCACCGAAAATACCCACTGATTGAGTCATGAAGAAAATAAAAAACAAATTCAGTGAAGAAAATGCTTCTTTATCGATGAAATCATCTTTACAGGCTGGCTTGGCTGTACAGTCTCGTTCAACGTTCATAAATAGCAGTTTCTTCAGCACCATCTGGGTTCTTTCAGGCTTTTCCCTTAACTTCATGTTTTTCTCGATAAATCTTGGAGGATATCCATTCTCTATGAGGACCTGTCTGAGCCGCCCCAGTTCCTCGTCTTTTGTATTACTGGAACATATCCTCCTTATTCTTGAGGATAAGGAGTGGATCAGGTTTCTCTTTCTTCTCAAAGGGACCCAACTATGGAAATTTGTCTACTAACCATTCCGTGTTGGTTTCCTGTAGATCGATGCTTTTTTAATCTTTAATTTTACTTCTAGTTTGCTTTTACTTTGTTGATACTTAATTCACTATTATCACTCTCATATGCTCCCTGTTGTACATTTTCACACCCTCTTCACACTTGTTCAATTGACACTCAACTACCACCTTTATTCTCTCTCACTTAATAGCCATTTTAACCTTCCTTATCAAATTTCTATCTTTGTGCCGTTGAGTACCACGTAATTTACAACTTTTAGTTTTTACTTCTAAAACCACTTCTGAACAATTATATCAATTATGTCACCCCCACCCCTATTCCTGAATAATAGACCATTATATAATTTTGGTAAGTATAAATACGACTGTACAGCCAAGTCAGCCTGTGAAGATGATTTCGTCGATAAAGAGAAGCATTTTCTTCGCTGGCTGAATTTGTCTTTTATGTTGTACTTAAGGTTAGGACAAACAAAATTCAGCGATCAACTAATGTAAAGATGGGTGTCTTTATCAGGTATGCGTAAAAATGCCACCCGATAACCACCAGATCACCTGATCAAAGTGGCCTTTTCAGGGTGTTTAGACGATTAATTCAGAGAAGCCTGAATGACGCCTGAAAGGAAAAACACTTTTCCGAACACTGTCTAGCCGACCGACCGAAAGCTGCTACCTTGACGTGGTGGTCGGGCTTGAACAAGGCAATGATCCAACAAGCTATACTGGCTGGAACTTATGTTGCTTGAGGTCCTACCATGCCAGAAAGGTTGTTTGGATAGCGGTTAGACAAAAAGTAGTTACCCAACCCAATGCTATGACTCAAAGTAAATCACAAAATATCATGCTAGATCGGTCGGGGCCCGGATTAACAACAACCCAGCTTCCTGCTGCCGTGTCACAGGGCAGAAGTGATAAATATGCTACTGAGACACACCAAACAACAAAGAACAAACAAAAACAGGCTGCGTGTGACCGGCCACAAGCAGTTGTCCCCCTGGGCTCTGTGGTCACGCAACCGACTTCCAAGGTGTGGGCAGCCGGGAAGTAACAATCGCTCTCACAAGCCGAAATGTACGCGAAACCTCTCTAATCCTCACTCATCTTTGTCTTCATCTTCACCTCTATTATCTTGCCTTCCTTCTACTAATGCAACTCCTTTACTTGATGGCTCTTCACTTCCTCTTCACTCTGTGTGCACTGTCTAGCCAGCTCTTACACACTTTATCTGATAATAGAAACATCCATGTGTCCAAAAATGAGCGAAAGAGATGGAAAAAGCATCGGCGATTGGCAACACCAGACAACTATTCATGCTAATCAGGGAAACAGATGGTAAAGGGCAAATGATAAGCGGAAAAATCTCGGAGAAAAATGGCACCATAATTAGCTCCCAGGACAGATGTCTGGAGCGCTGGAAAGAACACTATGAGGAACAGTTTAATTGGCCCACAGCCACACTTAACCCGCCGGACATCCAACACCTCCCTGAATGGGATATAGACACAGGTCCTCCGTCCTTAATTGAGGTTATTAAAGCTGTCACTAATCTGAAGCAAGGCAAAGCAGAGGGACCTGATTTATTGACTCCAGAGGTATTTAAGTACGGTGGAGACAGTTTACTGTCTGCATTAACTGAGGTTCTAGGCAGCGTCTGGGAATCAGAGGGAGTCCCATCGGGTTGGTGTAAGTCACTGAACATCCCGATATACAAGAAAGGAGACAAGTCTTCCTGTGATAATCACAGAGGGATTAGCTTGACTAATATAGTATCTAAAATCCTAGGCTCAATAATACTGCGTAGACTAAGTGGCGTAGACGTGATATCCGACTATCGACCAGAGGGCGTGTTTACTGCTCAACAGTCCGCTCCGTCCTCCTTTATGGCTGTGACACCCGGCCATTGAGAGCAGAAGACATGAAAAGATTAGCTGTCTTCGATCATGGGTATCTGCGTTCTATCTCCCACGTGAAGTGGTATCATAAGGTGAGCAATATTGAGGTTAGGCATCCGTCGAGTGCTAGTTAGGGAGGAGGGGAAATCAGTCGACGAGACTGTGAAATTACATCGACTGAGATGGTTAGGACATGTGTTACGCATATATGCCTAGTCATCGCCTTCCTCGACTGATGGGCAATGTTAGCTGATATAGGGCCAAGCTGGAAAAGAGCTAGCGGTGGTCAAACCAAAACATTTCTTCACCAGTCAATGAAATCTACAACAGTTAGTCTAAGCCACGTAGGAAGGTGTAGGCTGGCTTCCTGGCTGGGGTCCTCGGGACGGTAAAGTCCAATGGTTGGAAACAATTGGTGACATGGCTCAAACTCATCGTTCTCAATGGCTGGTGCAGATGCATCCACTCCTTGTGACTTATGATTTCCAGTGAAACTGTTTTGTTCTTCGTTATTACTATTCCTTTGTCTCACACCTCTGTTTACTGTCTCTCTATTATGCATTTCTCCTACCTATGATCGAACACAGATAATCTTTTCATGTCTTTTGCTCTCAGTGGCCAGGTCTCACAGCCAGCCATAAAGGAGGACGAAGCGGACTGTTGAGCAGTAAACACGCCCTTTGGTTGATAGTCGGATATCACGTATACGCCAGAGACGGCGTAAACTGGCATATGCGAAACTGGCCCTCTGTATTCGTGCTGAGATTTCGTCTGAGATCAACCCGTTGGCACTGGCTGATGGTACTTCACAAGTAAGTGAAGCGGTCAACGTGCTCTACCACTTCACTTCCTATTTCTAATCTGGGGGTCGGTGAAGTCCAATCCTGCAGTATCATCTTACATTTTACAGGGGCGAATCGCATACCAAACATACGAAGATTATTGCTCAAGGTGTTCAGTAGACTCTGTTCTATTTTGTCAGCGTCCTCGCCTAGAAGGACTATATCGTCAGCATATTCTAAGTCGACGACATTATTCCCTGGTAGCAAGTCAATCCCTGAGTCGCTGAAGTCTGTTAGGGTTAAGTCCATTAGTACGTCTATGATGAAGTTGAATAGGAATGGGGATAATGGGCATACTTGACGGACGCCACTAGTCGTCACCACTTCAGATGACAACTCGCCATAAGCCCTCACCTGACTGACTGCATGATTACGAGTAGGGTACCTTAAACAGTGCAATGTATTTTCTCGGCATTCCCTTTACATACAAGCATCGCCAGAGAATCTCTCGGTCGACAGAATCGAATGATTGTTGGACGCCACCGGTTAGAATGCCTATGTTCTAGAATCTGTCGAAGGGTGAAGATATAATCAATCAGTACACCCTCTTCCTGGCCTAAAACCTGATTGGTTTTCTCGTGTTTGTGCCTCCCGAACTATTTTTGCTCTCAACTAACATTCCTAATGATCTTAATCTTCTTTAGCAAGCATGACTTATCTGGTACACTTGCTTGTAAGTGAATCACACAAAGGAGGAATTTTGACAATTTTCACTGACTGATTGTTTCCGGACCATGTATTAAGTTTTTTTCAGAATCATAAGGTGATCCGTGTTCTTTGAACTTGAAATATTCTATATAGAAATCCTTGTCATGAATGGTTATAAATTTAAGGTAAACACTACTACTACTACATACCTAAAACGTTACACATTGATCAATAGAAACCAAGTCGGAAATTAAATACCTAGGTGTCATTCTATCTGCTGATCTCTCCTGGTCGTCTCATATCTTGGCGATTTCTAAGAAAATATTCCGTCTTACCTTCTACATCAAGTAAAGACATTTTGGAATAACCCAACCCAAAACTTACTCCTACAATTCGTTAATTCTCGCATTCTGCCTATTATTCTCTATTGTTCCCCCTCAGTTTTTCCCGGGCTACTGAAGAAAGACTATAGCATATTAAGCAGGATGTTAAATGTTGTCAGCAGGGTAAGCAACGTGCCACTTAACCAGCTTGTTAATATTCTGGTCGACAGGCAGGCACTTGGACTCATGTGAAAAAATGGGCCAAGTCCATTTTATCTAACTCACACCACTCTCTTCACTCACAACTCTCCCCTTGCATCTCATTAGGTAAAACCAGAAGCCAATATAGAAAACTATATGCTCGTACCAGCAAGTACAAAAACTCAACCATACCCTACTTAGCTCGTGTTCTGTGTGATAAAGAAAGCATTAGGCGTGACACCTATAATTCATTAAATAGTCAGTAGTACAACTGGATCTCGTCTTTCCAACTCACATCATCAATAGGTACAACATTTTCTTTCTTTCTTTTCCTTTTCTCTCTCTCTCTTTTCTTTTACGTTATGTGCTGCTTTGTTTCTTTCTTCCGCTTACGCCATTAAATATGACAGCACCTACTTTTCAAACACCTTCAAACACTGTTCAGTTTTGGCTTTGCTACCGACGTGCCAATATGTTGTTGTCATAATGAACTGAGATTTCCTTAATCTATGTAGAATTCTATTTATTGATAATGTACACAAACTGGATGCAATACTGTAGTAAAAATGCTGAGAATTCCATTCTGTATTGTATCACAAGTACTGTTTTGGAATAAAGCAAATTATTATTATTATTATTATTATTATTATTATTAATCATCGTTACCACCAGTTTCCTTAAAATTACTGGGAAAATTCGTGTAGCGTAAAGTAATCACGCACATGTGTAAGAAAAAATATATTTTAGGTTACTCAGCATCAACAACTAAAAATTCGGATTTTCAATACAAACGTCAAGTCAGTCAGTTCTTCTATACGTACGGATCAGAAACTTGGTGGCGGGTCACAAAGAATATTTCCAACAGCCTGTTGCAGATCTTTATCAACAACAACAACAACTGTCTTCGCTCCATACTGAAGATCAGATGGCCACCGGAAAGAACAAGAACCAACAAGAAACTATGTGAACAAACAAACAAAACAAGAACCAATCGCCCGAGAAATATGCAGGAGAAAGTGGAGATGGATTGGACACTCGCTGAGGAGGCCACCCGCTGGGTGACATCGCACGTCAGGCCATCGCTCGAGTAGAACCCGAAAGGTAAGTGGCGAGTAGTGGGACGTCCAAGGGTGACATGGAGGAGATGGTGTGAAGAAGAATTGAAATAGTATGGACTAATATGGTAGCAGGTGAAAAACACAGCAGAAGACAGAAGCAAGTGGAGACGTGTAGTTGAAGCCCTTTGTTCCACAAGGAATCCAAGGGAACAATAATAATAATAATAACAAAAATACACTTACTCGGTTAGCTAAGAATTCTGATGATTCTTCAAGAAATTTCACAAATTTCTTTGTATACTCAACTAAGTCTAACTTGTTTATATCAACGGAAACAGTCTTCCCAATGAAAGCCTTATCTGAAACTGTTTGAAGTTGTGGCAGCATTAAGGAGTTCAGCAGGTTGCCGAATGCATTCAACAGATCCTCGGTTAGATCTGTCGTCAGAAAACTAACTTCCTAAATAAATTTTTAAAAAAGAAAAAAAAACATGAAGGAAAAACAACAAAGGAAAGCAAATACATTGGCTAATTGTATAGTGATACTTTATATAGTGTGCGTAAACCGTTATTTTCCGCAAAAAACTTATCCGTTTTATATACAACCAAGGGACGTGTATACTGCTCAGCAGTTCGCTCCGTCCTTCTTTATGGCGGTGAGACGTGGCCATTGAGAGCGGAAGACATGAAGAGATTGTCTGTTTTTGACCACAGATGTTTACGATCTCTTTCTCGCGTTAGGTGGTATAATAAGGTAAGCAATGTTGACGTTAGGCGTAGAGTGTTGGGCAAAGAGGGAAAATCAATCAACGAGGCTATAAAGTTACTTACATAGATTGAGATGGTTAGGCCACGTGCTGCGCATGCCTAACCATCGTCTCCCCCACCCAACGGGCATTACTAGCTGATATAGGTGCAGGTTGGAAAAGAGTAAGTGGTGCCATGCCAAACAAAAACATGGCCTCATCAATCCATGAAATCCCTGACAGTTAAACTGAGTCAGGTAGGGAGATGCAGACTTCCGGGTTGGGGCCCACCCTCGGGACTCTAAGAATCAATGGCTGGAGACAGACAATAGGTGACATGGCTCAAAATCGTTGTCAATGGCTCAGATGTATTCAGTCTCTTGTGTAATCTTTCATATTCCTTTCTACCATTACTCATTCTGTTTCACTCTTACACTTGTCAAAACTCTATTGATTCTCTTCACTCATCTTTCTGTCTACTTTTGTGTGCTATTTGGAACGTGGCAACTCGAACTGCTGCACCTCGGTGCCAAGTTCTATGTTGAATCCAGCAGCAGCAGCAACAAAACTATTATTGATTATACGGACATAATTACCACCTCTCTCCAAGAAACATTCTTCTGTCAAATACTGAGAAAAGTGTGTAAAAGGAGAGGCGAGAAACAATTTACTAATTAATATTCAAGGGACATGTGGTTCTTGATGATTTTTGTAAGGATAGTTTTAGGCTGTTTTAAAATACATTTTTGTTTGAAATCGTGCTGTCGATTCTAGTCTTAAGCTTTACATTAGTCTGCACATTTAAGTATTCAAGCTCCTAATTTCTAATGCTAATCATCTGAAACCAGCAATCAGATAAAAATTTAAGTCGTTAATGGGTGGACAGTACATAGAAGTGTTCTCAAGACAGATTCAAAGGGGTTTTCTGATTCACTTAATTCACTTCCCTACACTTCTATTAAGCTAGAAGAGATTATCAAGGTAATTGAAAAAAATAAACAAATATCATCTACAAACAACTTAAATATCTTTTTTTATTTCCTTCACGTTCCTCAGTGGAACATAGGGCCTCAAGCTAGTAGCTTAAAGTTTCTGTAGCACTGCTTATTTTACAGGATGGGGTTACTAGCCTCATGCCCGCCAACCTTTCCTCTTCACCAGCTTTTAAGTTCTGGCTTAGCGAGGTAAAGGAGTGCGTCGGTGGCCGGGGATCGGACCCCGGACCATGTGCATGGTCGGCGAGCGTCCTAACCGCTATGCCACCAACGCACAACTTAAATATGAAACCAGATAAATGAAAAAAATATTCAAAATCACACTTTCTAACAGTTCGGAACTCCATTTTTGTTTTGCCATGCGCTTGCCTCTTTCTCTTTAATCCGTATGGAAATAAGGCTTTTTAGCCATAGTGTATATCCCAAAATCCGTCAGACAGTGGGAAACGAGAAGACAGGGATATCCTGGACCGACGTGAAGAACCTAGAAGACCTGGATTTTGCGGATGATTTATGTTTGATGTCACACAAAATCGAAGACTTACAAGCAAAAACCGACAAACTGGTCGAAGAAGCAGCAAAGACAGGACTCCAGGTGAACATAGACAATACGGAGGTTATGAAAATAACCAACCAACAACAACAACAACAACAGCAACAACATCCAGCGCCAATCACCATCAACGGGAGGGATTTGAAAGAGGTTACTTCTTTCACTTATCTGGGGAGCATTGTCTCAACCACAGGAGGAACGGACGAGGATGTCAAATCGAGAATCGGGAAGGCGAGAAACACATTCATCAACCTGAAACAACCAATCTGGAAATCTTCATCACTCACCAACACTCAACAACAAAATTCGGATTTTCAATACAAACGTCAAGTCAATTTTGCTTTACGGATCAGAAACTTGGCGGGTCACCAAGAATATTTTCAACAGGTTGCAGACCTTTATCAACAACTGTCTTCGCTCCATACTGAAGATTAGATGGCCAGAAAGAATCACAAACAAGAAGCTATGGGAACAAACGAAACAGGAACCAATCGCCCAACAAATATGCAGGAGGAAGTGGAGATGGATTGGACACTCGCTGAGGAGGCCGTTGAGTGACATCGCGCGTCAAGCCCTCGAGTGGAACCCGAAAGGGAAGCGGCGAGTGGGACGTCCAAGGGTGACATGGAGGAGATCGTGTGAGGAGGAGATGAAACAGTATGGAATAACATGGACGCAAGTGAAAAGAACAGCAGAAGACAGAAGCAAGTGGAGACGTGCAGTTGAAGCCCTATGTTCCACTAGGAACCCAAGGGAACAATAATAATAATAATATCCCAAAATCGGAATGTTAGCTATCCGCTCTATTGATTTTCTCTGTTATTAAGCCGATAATTATTAACTTTAAACAGAAGGCGAAAATCATCAACTACCTTTCATTTAACCCGACTAGAATTTTTGTTTCCCATTATTTGATGAAGCTAAGGGATACAGCTTAGGCCATTTAAAGGGAAGTCTGGTAATCCAATTAATATTTTTCTTCAAAAACTTCATGCAATTCTTCCTATTAATAAAGTTGAACAAAGCAAGAACAACAACAATTGTACCAGAAGATAATATGAGCTCATCTTTTATTATTATTTCGAGGATTCTTTGCAACTGGTTACAACCTGAACAATGAAAAATATGAATTATATTACATTAAAGATTTGAACATACTTTTCCACGATCACAAGGAGTAATTGGTTGGTAGGAAGTGTAAAAGTAACATTAGTCCGGAATGATTTAACTAATTAAGAGTTACAGACACACTGACTATTTATATAAAAAGAGGAAAAGTTCCATTTTCTTGACCTGGGTATCCAACGAGATATAGACGACAAAATCACACAGAAAAGAGACCTGGAGGGCGGTTTATCTTAACTTCAAAAGTTTCTGCCCTATAAGTTACAAAAAAGGATTGGTGAGAGCACTATTTGATCGTGTAAGGAAGCTATGTTCAGAAGAAAAGATTGAGGAAGAGCTATCCATTGTGGAGAAATGCCTACGCGACAACGGTTACCCACAAAAGTTCATCGACAAATATGGGAGACGTCATGTTGAAAAGGTGAAAAGCAGCACAGTAGAGAAAAAGCCTATCTTTCTGCAGTTTGCATGCAGCTAAAGGTGATGATACTGCTAGTAGAATAAGATGCAGACTGAACGCTGCCCTGAAAAGAACATATCCAGCCGCAAAGCTTGTATGTGTTTATCAAACAACTAGTTGTTTGAGACAATCAAAAGTGGGCAAATACCCACCTCATGTTACCTCCAACTGTGTCTACCAATTTACATGTTGTACGTGCCAAAGCACATACATCGGAAGAACAGAGAGAAGGGTTATTGTCCGCATTTCTGAACACATACCAAAGAACCTGAGACTGAAAGGTTCACAAGTAGTAAACAGTGCAATTGCGCATCATCTATTAGACACTGGTCATAATGTAGACAACTTGAAGTCATTCAAAATAATCAACAAGCAAAAGAAACCTGGCTTGCTACGCTTTGCTGAAGCAATTGCTATCACACGACTTAAACCAGATCTATGTACGTAGAAAGAGACAGTGGTGAATCTTGCACTGCCCTGGTGACAACAAAACATATACAACAGCTTGTTTTTGTCTCCAAGCCTAATTGCCTTATTATTCTATAAATATTTATAAACTGTCAAATATTGATCACAGTTCATTTGAATTATTCTATAAATAGTCAGTGTGTTTGTAACTCTTAATTAGTTAAATCATTCCGGACTAATGTTACTTTTACACTTCCTACCAACCAATTACTCCTTGTGATCGTGGAAAAGTATGTTCAAATCTTCACAATGTAATATAATTCATATTTTTCATTGTTCAGGTTGTAACCAGTTGCAAAGAATCCTCGAAATAACAAGAAAAGATGAGCTCATATTATCTTCTGGTACAATTGTTGTTGTTCTTGCTTTGTTCAAGTTTAATATTTTTCTCTCTAGACGAATTATAAGGTATTATTATTATACGGCATCAAATAGACATCTGAAAGTGTAGGCTTCTACTTATTGTGTCCCACAATGAAGACTTTATTGGGAAAATAAGGCTAATAGTGCACTCCTGTTCATCACAACTAGACTTTTCTTTATAATTCAAAAAGGACTAATGAGTCATTTCTAAGAAGTATTTCGAAAAGATGGTTGTATTCTGAAAACACACACACAGAGGTAGCGAAGGTAATTACGAAAGCCCAATTTCCTGCTAACAATTTTGTTAAGAGAGAAAAAAAAATAATAAAATTAACGCAAGTTAGTGAGCAATGACGGACATAATTCAGTTATCGAAAATTTAAAACAATTAGATTATCTGAACATCAACCCCCCGAGGAGAACAGAAGTCCTGAAGGCAATCAAGATGCTGAAAGCTAGAAAAGCAGCAGGACCAGATGGAATCCCAGCAGAGGCATTGAAAGTGGACCCAGAGACAACAGCGGACTTGATGACGCCACTACTGGAGAAGATGTGGAAAGAAGGCAAAGTACCCGAGGATTGGAAGAAAGGATACTTATTCAAACTAAACCAAAGAAAGGAGACTTATTAAGTCAATGCAAGAACTGGCGCGGAATTATGCTCCTGTCCATCCAAAGCAAAATACTAAGCCGTATCATCCTGCAGAGAGAATCAAACACACGCCAACCTGGATGAAAAACTTCGACTGGAACAGGCTGGCTGGATTCAGGAGAAACAAGTCATGTATTGATCAAATCGCCACACTACGGATCATCATTGAACAAAGTTTGGAATGGCAGTCGCCTCTCTACCTCGCTCAACTTCATCAACTTTGAAAAGGCCTTCCGTAGTGCAGCGTCGATCGAGAGGTGATTTGGCAACTACTTCGCTACTACATAAGGGGTGCCACCGACAATTATACATCTCATCCAACAGTTGTATGACAACGCTGCATGCCAAGTAATGCACAACGGGAAGCTCACGGAATCCTTCGAAGTGAAGACAGGAGTAAGACAGGGCTGGCTGACTACTATCGCCAATGATTTTCCTGATTGCAGTAGATTGGATAATGCGACAGACAGCGGGCAATGAGGAAACAGGCATGAAATGGACTCACACAAAGAACTTGGAGTATCTGGACTTCGCCGATGATATATGTCTGATTTCCCACAAACTGGAAGATATGCAAGTGAAAAGTAACAAACTGGCAGAAGAAGCAGCAAAGATAGGACTTCAGGTGAACATAGACAAAACAGAGGTGATGAAGATTCCTGGCCAACACCAACAGCCACAGCAACGACAACAGACAGCAATCAGCATAAATGGAAGGAAGAAACTACTTCCTTTACCTACTTGGGAAGCATTGTTTCAACTACAGGCGGAACTGACGATGATATCAAAGCAAGGATCGGGAAAGCAAATCAAGCTTTCATTACTCTCAAGTCTGTGTGGAGGTCAACAGCATTCAGCATCAAAAATAAGATCCGGATTTTCAACTCCAATGTGAAGTCAGTACTACTATACGGATCAGAGACTTGGCGTGTCACAAAGAGCACCTCAAACAAGCTACAGACCTTCATTAACAGATGTCTTCGCTCAATACTCAAGATCAGATGGCCGGAAAGGATCAGCAACAAAGATCTCTGGGAGCGAACCAACACAGCAGGAACCGATTGTGAAACAAATAGGCAGGAAGAAATGGAGATGGATTGGCCACACTCTGAGGAAACAAACCATCAAGTGACATCACTAGACAAGCCATTGCTCGAGTGGAACCCGAAAGGGAAGCGACGAGTTGGTCGTCCAAGAGTGACCTGGAGGAGATCATGTGAAGAAGAATTGAAAGCATATGGGCAGACTTGGAGCCAGGTGAAAACTCTAGCAGAGAACCGAACGCAATGGAGATACATGGCTGAAGCCCTATGTTCCTCTAGGAACTAAAGGAAATAATAATAATAAAGGACAAAGAGTGACAAAAAGGATTGAAGAATAATAAACAATAAATCCTTTTTGTTACTTTGTGTATTTTAATTGGCCTTTTATTTTCCGTGGAAAATGACTTGACCAGATAAGTAAGTGTGTGTGTGTGTGACCAGATCGTTTGAAATCTGTTGTGCATATACATCAGTTTTTTTCAGATAACCTCCGCCTTCTAATAATACTCACCAATTTTTCTTATCAGTTAAATAGGCAAACACCAAACAAGAAACAAACTGCTATCCAACAACTAACAAATACACTTGATATAACTGTTTTTCATTCTATGAATTATTTGACATATTGACCAGTAAATTAATTTAAACCTTCGAGTCACATAAACATTCTTTAGTTTGAGTGTAACAAATCACTACAAAAATCAAAATTATTGTTAGCCATGACTTAAAAACAACAGCAAACTGTAATTGAGCCGCAGCTAAGGCTTTTCGAATGCTATAGGCACTTCGAAGGGCTTTCAAACGATTAGACAAGGGTATGTTCCAAGTACTCTATGCAACATATGTCAGCAGGCCTCATCTAGAGTACTGCATACAAGCGGCGAGTCCATGCTTCAAAAAAGAGGCACATACCCTGGAAAGAGTTCAGAGGGTAGGAATGAAATTAGTTAGTGGTATCTCACACCTTCCTTATGACATGAGGATGGAGCATTTAAATCTCTTCCCATTATCATACCGAAGGAGGAGGAGAGGCGACTTAATTTCGGCTTACCGTATATTCAAGGGTGATTTAGGGATTGACCTTTCAAACCTTTTCTCTCTCCCTCTAGGATACATTTACGGGGTCACCAGAAGAAGGTGCAAAAACCGAGGACGAAGAAAATACGTTTGGAGTTAAGATTCTCTCACAGATGTGATCAACGACTGGAACTCCTTGTCTGATTCAGTAGCAACAGCTCCACCAGTGAACGCTTTCAAATAGAAACTGGATCTCTGCAGAGATATATATCGCGAGGGCTAACATTGGCAACAAAAGACTTCTATCCTTATAATCTGAATCTTAATCAGATAACCATCAACTCGTTATGCAAAATATTTGACCCAGCATGTAACTCTGTAAAGAGCTACTAGTGGAAATGCCGAACCCATAAAGATTCATAACGAATGGACATGCAAAAAATTACTAGACCCAAGATGGTTGAAATCTCATGAATGGTATTTGCATTAATGGTAAAACGCTTTGTAGTGAATCGCTTTTGTTATTCAGTCAACTATACCTGTCTGATGAAAACATCATGCGAAAGTGTACTGACCCACATAAAAATTTGCTTAACAGGGTTTGCCAAGATAATAACAAATAGCCTAACTTAACAAAATCTAGTACACTTTTCATAATATGGAGCGAAAATCCTTGAGTAATCCTATTCGAGTTAAGATTGTTAATGACACCCGTCTATTTTTTGAGGCCAAAAATAAAAGGCTGTTAGAATGAATCTGTAGGTACAAAATTATGATCAAATGAAATCGAAGTCAGTCATGATAAAAACATTTCTCACAACATTTCAGACAACCTTAGCAACAAAAATACGAAATTAATACCTTTGATATGTTTTCTGCTGTCACTTCGAGATTCGAATTAACTCGTGTGAAGATTACGCAAGGACCAGGACGGTTTATTTCAGTACCCGTCGATACGAAGATGCGCGGCCGGATTGTGATTGGAGTTCTCGAAAATACACCAATCCTTTCATTAATATCTTTATAAAGCGATTAAAAAAGGAGGGTGTCATACCTGATTTCTCGGACTTTAAACCAAAGAACAGAGCCTTCCTACCGCCAGGGTCAAAAAAGTTCTTAATGAGATACACCTAAAAGTGTAAATAACCGTAATGAACTTACTTGCTCACCATCCAATAAGCACTCCACAACATACCCTTTATCAACTTTAAAATGAAGTGAAACTTTATCAATTAAAAAATTATAACGGTTGTCGATTAGTGACTTTCTGGCAACACGATCCAAACGTTTAATTTCCTTAAAATAAACTAAACATGACGCCAAACAAACACACTTGTTTGTCCTTCATGCATTCGTTAACTTCAGATACATTTGACCGGCTTTGCCTTCGCACCTGGTTATCTGACAGCATACGTACAAAACAAGATAAAACACGTTTATTCTGAACTTTCAAATTTGTAAACGAGTCAGTCTCTAGTTGAATTTTGGTATTGGAGTATACAAACAAAAATTTACAACTCAATAAGTTCAATATGCAGTCGAATGAAGAAGGTTGATAAAACATTGTTTTTTATTGTTGTGTATTTCCTGATCTTGAGCAACGCCATCGGACTTATCTCTGAGCAGTATATTTCAATAACTACTTCATGCGAATGATTCCTGTGTTTATCTCAGCTCTTTCCTCTTTTGGTTACTCTGCGTATCGGTGATGAAAAAAATCAATAATACCTTCACATTAGGTAATCTATTCTTGGAAGAGTCGGAAAAGATTCGACAATTACAATAGAATAGGTGGTTGTTTGATCACTATCCGAGCCAATATACTTGTATAACGTCAGGTTAGATTCGGTTTGAAGCGCTGACCAAGATAACATAATGAGTCCAGATATTGTCACCTGCTTCCATTGCAGACATTCATTTTAACAAAACCACCGAATATTTGTCTCTTATTTGCTTAGCGTTAGGACAGAATGTTAACCATTCTGTTGCCCCTGCCTAAATATTAGCCATTTAATGAAACATACATTGTATTATATATCTTGTGACAGGCTCTCTATGAAACATTTGGCTTTTGGCTTCACTTTTATGGTGGCAAATATTTTATGTATGACGTCAGTTTTAAGCGTCTCAAACAGATAACTACAATAATCAAGGAAAAGAATAATATTTAGCTTAAGAGCTCACTGTCTGTGAGGAGACCATCATTTACATATCCCCCTATCCGACTTGTCCCTTAACTTGAATCCATTAACTAACTTACCCTCAGAGAGGTTCCATATAAACGTCTGGCACCCACCGGCCTCAGAACATTGCACTCTGCAAAAGTTTTGCCTACTCACCTTCGCGTCACTGGTCCCTAAAAACCACTTAAATACCGGGCATTAATAATAATAATAATAATGTATTTCATATAAATTTACAAATTTACATGAAAATCCATGCCATTTTTACAGGCACGATCAAGTATGATATAATATCAAATCCTAGATTGTCTACAAGTTAATCGTATTTCAACTGTTAAATATTCGATACATATAATACACTCATTTTCTGAATTAGGCCGTATAGTTATTGAATTGTACAGTTGTCCTCCAAGTTGAGCGGGAAAATCGACTTCGTTCCGTTTTCATCCCGTGGTTGTAGGCATACGATAACCAACCAATATTGAGGTAAGTACACCTTTTACAAGGGATTGGAATCTGTTTTAGAAAAATTAAAGTGCTGAGGTGAATCATTAAATTGTAATGAAATAGGTAAGTGCAAGTATCATTAATAAATGCATTAATAAAGGAAACACCCTAGGGTAACAACATTCATTTGCAATGTATAATGCTACAGATATATCACAAACTATCATGATATCCACTTTTGGTTTTAATACAATTATCCTCATGCCAGTTGTTTTTATTTTATACCTTTTTGTGCATTTAGTGCACAACCGTACCCTTCAGAGAGTAGGAGTATAATAAGTAATGAAGAGCTATAAGATGTTAAGTTTAATGGAGTAAAATGAGGATCAAGTAAAGACGTTGTCAGAAAATAAATGAGATAAGACATTGTGGAGTGGTATGAAAAGATCTGACGATAGACAGCAAGTTAATTTATAAGATGCCCCATAAATCTGAGCAGATCCCACATGGTCGCATCTCAACAATAGGCTGGGTGAATGGTATATATTTAAAGGTAGAAGCATGATCTGTCAAGGCGTTCATTGTTATCTTTTTCAAGATAAAGATTTAAGCCCTCATAAAAATCAGAAATATCTCGAGCCTTCAAATTTTTTTTAATGCTGTTCCTGCAGAATGGGGCGATTCACCTTAGTGACCCCCACCATATCTACTGATCAGCTAACTCCACCCTCCCACCTTTTTTGATGTTAGGCTCTGAGACTATGATTATTATGGTTACCGCAAATATATTGCTTGGTACCAGACATGTTCGTACCCCATATTCCATCTCCCTAGCTTTCTTAATGAGTGCTTCCAATAGGTCCCCGCGTACATCTTTATGAACATATTATATATGTATGCATGCGTCCTAATGAACAGATTACTTTATAAGAAGTCAAAAACCTTGAAGAATAACAAGAATAGGTTTTGTGAATAGTGGAGCAAGATTCAGCAGAACAATATAGTTAGGGTTCAATATAGGTAGTATGAACTGAAGGTAAGGTCGGTTGGCAGGACCAAGTGTACTAAATTATCATGACAGTTTTATATATAGTAAACATTTGACATTGCAAAGTAACCTGTCTACATATATTATAAAAAGATATTAGCAGAACCAACAAAATTTCAGCATTCGGTTAACAATACTACAGAAAGTTAGTGAGTCTTACAGGTAGCCGTAAAGTAAATCAATCTATGTATAATAAGAGTGTAATCAGTGTTATAATTCGTATTATCAAAGAATACATTAGGCTCAAAAACTGAATGTTGTAAGGGAAATAAGAGTGATAAACTAAGAGAACATTTGCTGCGTAAGTAATCATTTTAAGTATTTTAATGATAATCTAATTTCAAGTATTGAACATGCATAATTACTAAGCATTATTAGGTTAGTCTAGGAACTAGTGTACTGTCTGTAGTTAAATATTGAAATGTCATGGTTTCACTACTCTACCAGCAGTTGAGATCATTTAGAAGGGCTAGGGTGGACATGTTAATATGATTTTCTAGGCTCCTTTTGAAACTGTCAGGCCTTTCACAGGATCTAATCTCAGAGGGTAGTTGGTTCCAAAGTTTGCAATATTTAATGGTGAAGAAGTTAGCCCTAGTGGTGAGCTTATGGGTGTTAACCTTGAGAAGGCAGTTATGGTTGCGTAGTCCATACGATTTAGGATTAGCCCAGGTTATAGACGATTTACTGTTACAGTGCTTTCTTATAACTTTGAATAAGAGAAATAAATTGCACTTCACTCTCCTTAACCATAAGGGTTCTAAGTCCAGTCGAATACATCTGTCAAGGTATTCTATTTGCTGATCATAACCTAATATGCGTTTCGTGAGGAATCTTTGGACACTTTCAACTTTTTTTCTGTCTGCTGATTTAAAGCTACTGTATAAGTGGGCACAGTATTCAAGTTTGGGGCGAATGCATATCTTATATATGGCTAATCTGGCTTCTGGGGTGTAAAAGTTGCATAGCACAAAGCCGGTTAGACGTTTACAATCAGATACCACCTTATTTGCATGTTCAGTAAAGGTAAGATCTGAGTATGTTACCCCGAGATCTGTGACTGTGTTCGTGTTTGAAACAAGGTCACCGTACATGCATAGACACATGCTAGGTTTCCAACGTCCGAAGTGTGTTATCCCAGATTTAGCCGGATTGAACATTAACTGCCACTTTTCACTCCAATTACATAGACTATTTAGGTCTTCTTGGATTTTACTAACAATATTCATATCATTATAGTCGAAATCATAGACAACTTTGAGGTCGTCTGCAAAGAGGTATGGCTTGCCATACTTGATCATAGAAACAATATCATTTATGAAGAAAGAAATACGAACCCTTTGGCATTCAAAGATTTTGGATTCGTCAAGACATTACTCTTACTGCAAAAACATGGGCTTTGTGTTCTACTTGGAATTATGGAGTCTGTGTGAACCCTTCAGTCCAGGCAGAAGTTTGAGACAAATGCATTCATGCCAACAGATAAAAGAACAGTCCCCGCATTTCACGGGTTAGTTGTTACGAGTACGGTAAGTAGATATTTAGAAAACTTTTCAATTAAACTTCATGGGGCTCGGTATTTTAAATCCACATATATGGCATTAAGGGTTCACGGGCTGCATTATGTTCACTGTGCGAAAATTCGCCCATGTTACGCGTGCTTCGTGTAGGACGTTACATTCTCCCCAAATAACGTGGAAATAATTTTTCACATTCTGGAATATCGTGGTCTATATTTGACTTCTATACAATTACAACTGTTATTGGTTGCACCTCCGGCAGTTAAATATCCAAATTTATCACAACCAGAATACTGTTCGGATCCAGTCAAATTCGTGTGAATAAAGAGCAATCTATCACTAAAGAACTATTGAGAAGTCCTAAGTTTTGTGGTCTATAACTATCAGAGTTAACTCGTTTGATAGTGGTCTATTTTTAGTTTGTATTTTTTACATTCATACCCGTTTATTGTTGTTTTATCTATTTAGATAATATAATAGCATTTCACACACTTTTATCAGTTTTTGAGAAATTGATATTATCTTTACCTTCATAATGGTCAAAGTTGTTAAACGAGTTAGTACTGTTGAGAGACTAGCATCGAATAGTCAGCAGCTCACTAAAAACATTAGTGCTGATGATGAATTTGCACTTAGATCAATCGGCAAACCGAAATTTATGGTGACTAACTTAGTGGAAGAACTAATTGATTAGGTAGCCCGTAACACTAGTGATTTACAGATCATTCAGAAATCCATATCAGACCTGCAGGATAAATTTGAAAGTATCAAGCCCGGTACGTTCGAACCAGGTGACGCTTTTACACGTGTTTTCGTTTATATTCATTAATTGCTTACTGTTGACTGATCTTTAATAACAATGGGCCGAAATTCCAAAAAAAGTGTCTGTGTGAACACCAGTAATTTAGAAAATAGCACCAGCTCGTCTGATAACACATTACCACCCCTTATTATTAGTAGTTCACCCAACATAAAAGACTCGAACATAACTCTGACCCCTGTAATACAGGTGGAAGATGTTGTCTGAAAAAGTAGAGCTCTCTTACTTAACATGCATGATTAAAGAGATGCAGCTACAGATTGATGAATTAAAAACGAAATTAAGTTCATTTGAATGTATACCCGAAACTATCTCACTTATGAAAAAGGAACTGCAGGATCCTACAATCCTAAAGCTTTTTAATATGACCTCTAGAATGACGCCTACTGACTCAGAAAATGCGAAGGAGTTAGAAAACGCCATTGACTTTCTATCCAGCGAAGTTGTTAAAAGGCTGGCTTCGAAACAAAACGCTATAGTGTATAATGTACCAGATAGCGAGCCCATTAAGTCGGTTCAGCACTCATTGCTGAAGGCTGCAAATCT